ATTCGGCTGTTAAAACTTGTGCATAGTTCGCGAAGTTCTCGTGTTGTGTTTTTCAGCTCCATTAATTCACTTATATTCCTCTCTAAGTTGTGTATTCTTGTTAACATTTCGTCAAACCTGTTTTCAAAGTTCGTAGTTTTTTTGCATTGGGTTAGAACAAGTTCTTTTAATTCCCAGAAGTTTCTTATCATCCACCTTTTGAAGCCTGCTTCTGATTGTAAGGTTTATTGCTGTTGTAGAATGAGGAAACTGAGGCAAGTACAGTATGAGAAAATGAGAAGCCAATTTAATCAGCTCCTGGGTGAGGTTCTGTGGTCCAGGAAGGGACTAGAGAACTCGCGCCCAGCTGTTTAGGTCATGGGGTTTTATGGGAAGGGAAGGCGATTGATTGGCTACTGGGGAAACAAAGCAAAGGCAATTTTATTGGCTGTTAGGAAGCAGGAAGTGCCTGAAACTAGTTGCTATTGGTAGGCAGGTGGGACTTTGGGTAAGTGGGTCTTGATTGGCTGTTGGGGAAACAAAGTGAAGGCAATCCTATTGGCTATTAAGAAGCAGGAAATGCCTGGAGCTAGTGGTTATGGGTAGGCAGGCGGGACCTTTGGCCTTGATTGACTGTTGGGGAAACAAAGTGAAGGCAATTTTATTGGCTGTTAAGAAGTAGGAAATACCTGGAGCTAGTGGTCATGGGTAGGCAGGCGGCACCTTAGGTAAGCGGGCCTTCTGGGGGCATACAGAGCAGACTGCTACCGGGCAGGGTCTGATGGGGCTTCTTTAAAAAATTTTCCTGAAGGGTTTATCAACAGCGGGCTGGGGGTTAAATGCATAATTTAGTGCTGAATGTGGGCATGGGTCTGGTATGCGGAGGTGGGTGCGGGGAAGCTGTGAGGCGAGGCCAGACAACGAGCTTGGGTGATGACGCAGTTATCAGACGCGGAGAGAGATGGATGAGTCCGCTTAACCCTCTGTGAGGCAGCCAGCCTTACACTAATAATGGAACACAGTCGTTCTCTATCAGGCCTTGTTCCGTTGCTGATGAGGAACTATGATCCCCTGTAGAGGGAGAGTCGTTCTGGTTTGGGGTATTCTCAGCCTTTTAAGCCTGGTTTCTTCCCTTCATTTTAGATTTATCCATCTGTGGTCTTCATAATTACCGTCTTTGTAATTGGGTTTCTGAGTGGACGTCCAACTTGTTGATTCCCAGCGCTAAAATCTGAGCAACCCACTGCACCGGCCAAAACAGCAGCGTTAAGATTGATGGTGCTTTCTGACTCTGCACCAAGTACCGCCCCACCAAGGCAGCGGCAAAACCGCCTTGCAGGCCACAAGTCGCGCTGGCGACCCATGGGGCTCCTCTGCTGGGAATCTCCTGGTGCATGAGCAACAAAAATTCGTGGGACAATGTGGCGTCCTCTCGTTCTCTGCGCTTTCACTGGGAGCTACAATCCCGAGCTGCTAATGATCAGGCATCTTGGATCTCTCTCCAAGAATTCTATTTTTAGACAATTTGCAATTCTGTTTGTACACTTTAAGTCAATTTGAGGTTTAATGAAGAGATAAATTATGCATGTCTATCATCAGATTACATATGTATGTGGGTTTATGTATAAATATGACCCCAATTTTGGACATGGCTTAACTTACATTCTTTCTTAGCTGATTTTTGATAGATGGTAGTTTTATCTTGACTAAGTGAGTAGTCATGGAGATAGTCTTATTTTTACCATGTGTGTAACTATGAATGTGTGTGTGTGTGTATATCTATATATATATATGTATACACACACACACACACACACATATATATATATATATATATATACATTGCCCAGGCTGGAGTGCAAACTAATTATTAGTAATTTAGTGAGAGAAATGCTTTTGTGATTTGAGGGTAATTTGCAGGTTGAGTGCAGTGGCTCACACCTGTAATCCCAGCACTTTGGGAGGCCAAGGTAGGTGGATCACCTGAGTTCAGGGTTCAAGACCAGCCTGACCAACATGGAGAAACCCCATTTCTACTTAAAATACAATTTTTTTAGCTGGGCGTGGTGGCACGTGGCTGTAATCCCAGCTACTTAGGAAGCTGAGGCAGGAGAATCCCTTGAATCTGGGAGGAGCAGGTTGTGGTCTGCAACGCCATTGCACTCCAGCCGGGGCAACAAGAGCAAAATTCCATCTCCAAAAAAAAGGTAATTTTCAAAAAGGTTTATAATTCCGGATTTGTTTTCCAGTTTTCTTTAAAAACATTGCGTATAAAACCATAACATAAAATGTACGATTTTAAATCTGTTGAAGTATACATTTCAGGACAAGATATGTTTGTGGCTTTCGTCTGTAATCCCAGGATTTTTTGCGGTGAAGAGGATTCCTGGAGCCCAAAGGTTTGAGACCACCCTGGGCAACATACGGAGACCCCTTTCTATAAAAAATGTAATAATAGCCAGGCATGGTGGTGCGCAGCTGTGGTTCCAGCTACTTGGGAGATTAAGGGGGAGTCAGAATATTGCCCCCGCACTTTAGCTTGCGTGAGAGAGAGAGATCTTGTTTCAGAAAGAAAAAAACCTGTTGATTTCAGGCATGTTAAGTATATTCAAATCGTTATGCAAAAGACTTCTAGAAACTTTGCATCTTGTAAAAGTAAAACTCAGTACCCACTAAGTAACAACTGCTCATTTTACCCTCTCCAGGCCTTGATAGGCAAACCTGCCACTTTCTGTTTTTATACTTTTGACTACTTAAATATCTCATATATGTGAAATCATACAGTATCCATAAATTTGTTACTAAATTCAAGGTTCATCTTAAAATGTGACGAAATTTTCCTTTTTAAGGTGGAATAATATTCCATTGTACTTATATGTGACATTTTTTGATATCTTTATAAATCAAGAGACATCTGGGTTGCTTCACCCTTTTGGCTAATGTGAATACTGCTAAAATAAACAAGAATTTTCAAATTTGTCTTCCACGTCCTGTGTTGCTTTTTTTTCTTCCTTGAGGTAGAATCTTGCTCTGTTGCCCAGGCTGGAGTGCAGTGTTGTACTGCAACCTCTGCCTCCTGGGTTCAAGCTCCCAATTAGCTGGGATCACAGGCACCCACCACCACGCCCAGCTAAGTTTTTGCAGTTTTGGGTTTCATTATGTTGGCCAGGCTGGTCTCAAAGTCCGGATGTCAGGTGATCTGCCCACCTCAGCCTCTCTAATGGCTAAGACTACAGGCTTGCGTCACTGCTCCTGGCCTGTGTTATATATTTTACATATAGATATGTAAATGAAAAGCATTTAAAACATTTAAAAATAATGCCTGCATCTATGTTTTTCACCAGCAATCAACATGGGTTCCATTTTTTATTGCATTATCAACAGATTTGATGTTTTTAAAAAAATTTATAGTGGCCATTTTTTTTCCCCCCCACACAGTCTCGCTCTGGTGCCCAGGCTGGAGTGCAACGAGGCGATCTTGGCTCACTGCAACCTCTGCCTCCTGGGTTCAAGTGATTCTCCTTCCTCAGCCTCCCAAGTAGTTGGGATTACAGGCACCTACCACCATGCCCGGCTATTTTTTTGTATTTTTAGTAGAGATGGCCGCAGCCCAGATGTTTTCTTAGTGATACCCGGCAGATTACATAAAACCTCTAAAATATCCCACAATATATTTAAATGTGGTACATTTAACTTCATTTTCATACAAAACTTCTTCATCATTACATCTGCTTTCAACTTTGTTATTGATTTTGCTAATTATATATTTTATGATGTATATTCATTAACAGATGTTTACAATAATTTCTATATTCTTTTAAATTGTAAAGAATAACTAAAAATGTTTTCTATGCTATTCTAATAATATTAAGTAAAAAATTCCATGTTTTGTGTATGTGCATGTATTTTCCAGAAAGTTAGGTATTTTCATATGATTTTGTGTTGTTTTCTTGCATTATTCTATTTTCAGTGAAAGAAACTCCTTTCAGCATCTTTGATATATAGGGCATCTGAAGTGCCAATAGACTTCCTCTGGATTTGGTTATTTTGAAGGATTTCTTATTATTTGATTGTACAATTTTGCTGATGATATTATTCCTACCCGAGAGCTTTTTGTTAAATTATAACTTTAACAATATTACAGTTTCCTTCTGACCTGCAAACATTTTTTTTGACAAATTCACTGGTTCACTCATGAGACTATGCTTATAAACAACACGTCGTTTTTATCTTGCAGCTCCCCAAATTCTCTTAATCTGTAATTTTTGAAATTTTGCTACTATGCGTGTTTGATGTAAGTATCTTTTTGTGTATCCTAGTTTGTTTGTTCAGCTTTTACATTTTTTCTTCTTTTTCTGAGACGGAGCCATGCTTGGTCAGGAGACTGGAGTGCAGTGGCACGATCCCGGCTCACTGCAACGTCCGCCTCCTGAGTTCAGGGGATACCCCTGCCTCAGCCTCCCAAGTAGTTGGGACTTCAGGCACCTGCCACCACACCCGGATAATTTTTTTTTCAGACGTCGTTTCACTCTTGTTTTCCAGGCTTCAGTGCAAGGGCGCAATGTCGGCTCTCCCCAACCTTATCCTCCTGGGTTCCAGCGATTCTCCTGCCTAAGCCTCCTGATTAGCTGAGACTTACAGATGCCCCCAAGCTTGGCCAATTTTTTGTACTTGTAGTAGAAACTCGGTTTCCCCATGTTAGCCAGGACGGTCTCAATATCCTGACTTCATGATCCGCACACCTTGGCCTCCCAGAGTGTTGGGATTACAAGCGTGAGCCACTGCGCCGGGACTGATTTTTGTATTTTTGGTTTAGACTGTGTTTCCCTATGTTGGCCAGGATGGTCTCGGTCTCCTAACCTCGTGATCTGCCCACCTCAGCCTCCCAAAGAGCTTGGATGACAATCATGAGCCACCCTGCCCAGCCCATTTTTTCTTTTAAGAAATTTTTCAGGGCTGGGCGCGGTGGCTCAAGCCTGTAATCCCAGCACTTTGGGAGGCCGAGGTGGGTGGATCACGAGGTCAAGAGATCGAGACCATCCCGGTCAACATGGTGAAACCCCATCTCTACTAAAACTACGAAAAATTAGCTGGGCATGGTGGCACGTGCCTGTAATCCCAGCTACTCAGGA